AAACATTTTTATTTATATCAGCGGGATTTTTACGCCCATTTAATGATAACTGTTTTACCTGTACAGTTTCTTGGTGTTCAAGTTGATGAAAATTTATAATGGACAAATCATATAGGATACATTATATCAAAAATACTATCTGCAATAGGTATTTTATATAAATGTTGCCCATTTCTTGATTTCTGCTTATTAAAAAAACTTTACTTAAGTGAAATTCATAGTCATCTCACATATGCTAATATAGTGTGGGCATTAAAAAACAAAACAAAATTAATTAAACAATAAGACTTGCTTTTAAAGCAATTCATTATCTAAGTAGAATGGACAATCCTTCTAATACGATAGCAAAAATGAAAGTCTTAAACTTGGAAAAACTTAATTTATGTCAGATTCTTATATTTATTTTCAAATAAAAAAAAAATATGCTACCAAATTCTTTTTTAGACATACTTTTGTCATCATTTATCAAAGTTTTAATCTGCGACCAAATAGCTTTCATAAATGTTATATTAAAAAAAATAAAACGGGTTCTGATTTTTCAATTATGTCACAAGGCCCTAAAACATGGAAAAACTTAAAATCAAAAATTAAAAGATAAACATATTCTTAGTTTGTAAAGTAAAAAAAAAATAATAGTCAATAAGAAAAAATAATAATAATTAATAATAGTAATTACAAAGCCAATTACACAAAATTGTTTCTAAATTTACTTAAATTAGCTTTTTACATAGACATAGATATACGCGAATCTGTAAAAAGATTTTTTTTGGAGTTTTATACCCAAAAATTTCTTTCTTTGATTTCCTTTTTTAGGTATTAAAGTATAAATAAAATAAATAAATGTAATAGTTAGCATAGCAGAATTTATATTAAAGTTTGTACCAATATTATACTAATGGATCAATATTATATTAATCGACCTGAACGTAATAGATTTGTATAAAATTTTTCTTTTTTTCACGATAATAAATGTATATTTTACATGGCATACCTGAAGAAAAATATACAAGATGAAAAGTATACATGAAAAAAAATAAATAAGTGAATAAAATAAAAAAAAAACTTAAAAAGAAACAATGCAATAAGCATTGAAAATGTTTATGACAATTTTAAGAAAATATTGTAATAATATATAATTTTTTTTTTTTTTCTTCTTTTAAACTTTTATTTATTCAAAACAAGATTTACAAGATAAAAATGAATAAAATACATAAAATACATATAGTCAGAATTACAATAATTGTTAACGTTGCAATAAGAACGCAGATACTCGCAGAAGATCATAAGGCCTTGTCATCAAGAACCGCAAAAACAGATTTTAAATAAAATATAATTCTTTGTTAATTCATATAAAAATATTCACACATAAATACAAATAGAATTATTTACACATATTTGAAAATGCAAACGTATGAATATATATACTTACACATTCATATATATAAATAGTTAAGATAAAAGATATCGTATATATAAATTGAGATAAAAGATTTTTTAAGAGTATTACTAAAAAACAAAACAGACTTAAAAATACATAACTTTGTTTTCAATTGAGAAAAGAATTTTTTTTAATTTTCTATTAAAAAAGAAAAAGTTTTAATACTACTTTAAACTAAAAAAAATGAAATACAAAATATGTTTTGACATTATATCACTAAATGAAATACAAAATTTAAAATTTCATATAACAATACAAAATTTGTTTGCTTTAAAACATTGCAAATCCATAATATTTAAGTTTTTTTAATAGAGTTTTATGATCTAACGCATCGTAGGCTTTAGACAAGTCAATAAAAATGCTGATAGTTAATTTGGAAATTTCAAATGATTCAGTTATGTACTCTATTTTTTTGAAAACTCAAAAATGTGACTTAACAAATAACAAACAAAAAACTTTGTGAGGTTGCTTTTCTTTTTTGCAAGTTCCAAGATTTATTGTTGCAAGTTTAGATTAACAACTCTTTTTAAAAAAAGCAAGGCTAAAAATAAATAATCACAATAAGATAAACTTTTATGTTTTTATTTGAAAACTAAAGCCTTGGATTTTAGTGAATGATTTTATTTAGTCAGTTTCAGTAATGAAACTACCCAATAATCATTTTTAACTATAGACAATGACGTGGAGTTAAACTAAGTCATCTATCAACTCAAAATAAAACAACAATAACATCACAAAGTTAACATGCAGCAAAACATATTACAGTAAACTCTAAATTACTCAAAAATCCGGGAGACCAAGAAATAAGCTTGTTAAAAAATGTTAAAGTTATTAGGAGTATAATTCATAAACAAAGGCACAACTGAAATTTTAAAATTAGTTTAAGTTATGAAGGGTTATTCAGAGTTCAAGTTTATAAAAGTTAACCAGAGTTTATTATATATATATATATATATATATATATATATATATATATATATATATATATATATATATATATATATATATATATATATATATATATATATATATATATATATATTATATATATATATATATATATATATATATATAATATATATATATATATATATATATATATATATATATATATATATATATATATATATATATATATATAGATATATATATATATATATATACATATATATATATATATATTTACATATATATATATATATATATGTAAATATATATACATATATATATATATATATATATATATATATATATATATATATATATATATATATATATATATATATATATATATATATATATATATACATATATATATATATATATATATATATATATATAGATATATATATATATATATGTATGTATATATATATATATATATATATATATATATATATATATATATATAATATATATATATATATATATATATATATATATATATATATATATATATATATATATATATATAGGTACATTTATATATGTATATATAAAAAAAAAGTGAAATATTATTTTCAAACATGTATTTTTGTGTCTTTTATCAAAGTTGCCTCACAATACTGGTAACTTGTTTACACTTATTAACTGAACTCAATTTTCTTTTATGTAAAAGTTGTATAGATAATCGGAATCAAAACAACGAAAATCAACCAAACAAGCAGATATTTTTAATTAACCAATTTAGCGCATTAGATATCATGTGCCCAGTTTATATACAAATTTATCTACTTAAAATTAATTTTTTTTCAAGACGTCCTTTAATTACCTTAGATATTAGACATCTTGTAAACGACTTATATCTAAGGTAATTAGGACGTCTAAAGCAAGTCTGATGGACGTTAATAGGACGTCTAAATATGGAAGTCCTAATAATGTCTTAATGTAGACGCCACTAGGACATCCTAACACAGACGTCTTTACCAGACGTCTTTAGGACGTCTTATTTTGGTCTGAGACGTCGCAACCTAATTAAGACGTCTCTAAGATGTCTGATTGACGTTTGTGCCCTCTGGGATTTCAGACCAATCATTTATAAATTGTTTTAACAAGTTAGATGTTTCATAAGAAGAAGTAGAAAATCATGCAAATGATAAAAACAATCCTTTCTGTGACTTAGATGTAAAGAAAGCTGTAATAAAAAGCTTAAAATATGACCTCCTATTCCTCGCCTATCCCCTCCTCCCTTCCTCCTCCCTTTTTTTCCTCTTATAAAGATCGAATTAGAGAGATTCTGTAACATAAAATTTTTTTATATTTTTGTAAGAAAGCCTACATGGGTTTAAAATAAATTCTTAACTAATCTGAGATATAGGTAAATAAACAGGATAAATAAATCAACTCAGAAACAAAACTACAAACAGCACATGTAAAAAGTTACAAACCTAAAAAGTACTTTTCTATGCTTTTTTATGTTATAAACTATATATGTTAAAAAATAATCAAAATTCAAAAAAATGGTTTTAAAACTAAAACAAAGTTTTTTTCGAAAAATTGTTAAATTTTAATGCTTTTATATTTTTGAAAACAAAATTTTACAATTTTTAGCATTTTATTATAAGGTTTTAAAAAACATATTTAATAGAAGTTTGGCTTTTACTTTTTTGTTATGTAGTATTTATGATTAAAAAAAAAAAAGCGTTACGCAGTGGACACAGGACATAAAAAAGTCGTCTTTTAAACGTTCAAAAGACTTATAAAACGTTTAAAAGACGTTTAAAAGACGTATTTTTTACGAACCGTGTCCACTGGGTAGGCTTCATTAAACTAATTATTTTTAAATTAAGCCATTAAGTTGTAAAAACTATAGCGCTTTAGCTATATATTGAAAATACAGGAAAAGTTAATACATTAATTTATTTAAATTTTAGATGCGTTGTGCGGGGAAATCCTTTTTATTTCACTGTTCTACTTCCTGTTTGCCTGATTTTGCTGATTAACTTTATTGTGTTGGTAATCATCATGCTCAGTTTATCAACAAAAAATGAAATTACAAATAAAGTTACAGGAAACAAAAATAATATATCACGAGCAAAGATTTCATTTATGTGCTCGACTCTTCTTGGTTCATCATGGATATTTGGTGTTCTAGCTGTAAAAGATTTTTCAACAGTATTTCAGTGGTTGTTCTGTGTTTCAACCTCGTTACAAGGTTTTTTCATTTTTGTATTTTATATACTGAGAAACAAAAAGGTGTTTGTTGAGTTTCAGTTTTGGCTGCTACGTTATCGACAATACAAAGTTTCATCAAATGTAGTAGAGTCAAATATAAACAAAAAATGAATATTTACAGTTGTTGTCTTTACGTTGTCTTAAACAATCATATTTGCAGAGTTTATTTTGTTTATATATGATTATATATATGTTTATATATGAGTATATATTTTGTTTATATATGAAAATAATTATATATATATATATATATATATATATATATATATATATATATATATATATATATATATATATATATATATATATATATATTTATATTATTAACAATATTATTAATGTTGCTTTTATATAATTATTTCTATTATTACTATTATTATTGTAGTTGCTACTATTACTATTATTGTTATTATTATTTATTATTATTGTTGTTGTTGTTGTTATTGTCGATGATAATATTATTATAAACAGTGTTGATTAGTACTCAGTTTAATTTTTACTTTGTTTGTATTTTTGAACTTATTTTATGCCTTTACTTAAAATTTTAAGTATAATGTAGCGCCTAATTATATCTTTAATTATATGTTAATAAATTAAAAATGCAGTCTAATATCTATATTAATATACACTTTATTTTTATTTAAAGTTTATGCAATTGATATTAAGGATTTTGATATTAAAGATTGATATTAGGGATTTTAATTTTACTTAAACTAAATTTAATTAATATTGAACAATTGGTAGTAAGAATTTTAATGAGATTTTTGTTATTATTATTATTTTTATGTAAATAAATTTATATAAAAAAAATTCTATAAAAAAAAAAAAAAAAAAACACTTTGTAGCAGATTTTGTTGTTGTTCTTTTGGTACAAAGTATGATTTTTAATAATTAATGTTGCGTTGACAATTATATTACAAAAATATAAACAAGGTTTCAATATAAATAATAAAATAAAAATAAGTAATAAAGACCGATTTTATGAAATAATACTTTTTTAGTAAAACTTAATGACATATGATTTTAAATAATAATTTTTTACCTCGAAACATTTAAATTTTGTTCAAAAAAGATATTTCAAGACCGTGTTATAAAAATACCATTTCGATACAGTCTTATAAATTAAACTTACGATTTAGTCTTATAAAATGTTCCAAAAAGCAGTTTAAATCAAAGGTTTGCTTTTTGTTCAAAAAATGACGAAACTTTTCATATAAAAGGACTATAATATTGATTTTGGTAAGAATATTTTTTAAGATGGATTTGGGTTATTCTCTAAAATTTAGTAAGATATTTATGAGAAATTTTAAAAGCTATTAAATATAAGCCACGTTTTTCTTTAGTCCTTAATAGTATCAAATGGTGGCTATTAAGCATAAAAATATTTAAAGTTCCCCTTAAGCATTTCTGGTTTCATTTAAGGTTTCCCTTAAGCATTTCTGTTTGGCCAAAACATTATTCTACTAACATACTCTATTAATATCGATTTTTTTAGTTTAAGTACATCTACGTGTTATTACTTGTTGGGGAAAACGAGGCAAAATAGCTTTTTATATAACAGCTCAATAAAAAAATTTAAAAATGGGTGAAAACGAAAATACATTTGTATCTTGTATTTTAAAATACCAGTACCGGCGTTTTAAACGCGTTGCAAAATAAAAACATCCCTAAAATAAGTTAAACACTAAAAGGACATCATTCATCAGCAATAACCAAAACCAAAGTATTTTTTTAAGCGCAAAAATAAACTTAAGCGAAAAAAATTAGGTTAACAATTCAAAAAAAAGTCAACTAATTGTTTTTTTTTTTCAATAAAAATAATTTAAGCACTTTAAAAAAGTTTAAAAATTGAAGCATTTAAAAATAAATAAACTAGTTGATTTATTTTAAATTTTCAACGTAATTTTTGCGCTTAAAAAAATACCTCGGTTTTGGTTTTTGTTAACGAATGATGTCCTTTTGGTGTTTGACTTATTATAGGGATATTTTTATTTTGCAACGCGTATTTATTTAGCTAGAGTATTTATTTAGTTAGAGTTTAGCTTAGTAGATAGTTTTGAAAATATTATAAAATTATATGATTATCATGGATCCTTAGAACGCCAATTGTAGTTGGCATTATCAGAATCCATATGCTGGATTTTATATAATGATAGGGATTTTATATAATGATAATACCAACCGTGGTTGACATTATCAGGATCCACGTGCAGTAGTTAGAGTTCTAGCTAAAAATCGAGAGGTCCGGGTTCAACGCCAATTCTAGACTAATAAACGACATTGTTAAGGAAAGTGACGTAGACCTCATAGTTAAATGCTCTTTCACAGTGTTCTTTAATAACATCGTATAGACTTCTGGGAGAACTTTAGTAGCCCCCCCCCCCCCTCATAAAAAAAAACCCACTCTTATGGAAAGATAGCGTACACATCAGGGTATCATGGAATTCACTTTTTAAAATCTTTAAATTTTGTTTGCGGGAAAAAATTTAATTTGAATGTTTAAATTGAGTGAAACTATGACTTCATAGTGTACCAAACAAAAATACCTGTAGAATATGAGCCATTCTATATAATTAAATAAAAATTGGTGCAAGTGCCTATGGCTACATCAAGCTCTGGATAAAATTTCCGATTAGTTCTGATTAATTGATTGGTTAATGTTTAATGTTTTAGTTTAAATTTAAGTAATTTTTTTGCTATTTGAGAAACATTTATACTATTTTCATTTTATAGTCCGAAGTATTGATTTGCTATTTAAAACGTGGTTTGACTTGATTATGCATAGCGTAATAATCTCAGCATTTTCTAAGGTATAAACTACTGTCATAATACATTAAAATGCTAAAAAATGGTTCAAAAGAATTTCCTGGAATACCTATATTAAAAGTAAAAAATTTTATATATATATATATATATATATATACATATAAAATGTGAATATAAATTTTATTGTTACCTGTTGCTTTGCTAAACTTTGTTATTTTAGAAATTGTACATGGCCTCAATTTATTATAATTAATATCTTCTAAAAATATTTTTTTTGCTTGAATTCGAATGATACTATTATCACGTATTGATTCCAGTTTTCTTGAAGAAGTATTTAAACTAATTTGCTTGATTTTGCTGAACATCTGCTCTTCATTTTCAGTATGCAGTGAACTTGGGGAAATAATGCGTACAACTTCTGGTAAATGTGTTGTGATTGAATGGTAGTATATACCATACAGTTTGTTCTTGGTAATTTTATTAGGGTTACTTCCGATTACTAAGCGGCAAAGAAGGATATGTTGAAATGCTAAATTATATAATCGAAGGATTGACTTTGGTGACCTGTTTTGTGATGGTAATTATGCAGATTTGACTAATTCCATGATATTCTGCAAAAATAGTTTTACATTTGGTCTACAGATCTCTTTTAAGGAATTGTATACAACAATTGTAGATAATCTATAATCAGCCCCTCGTACATTGTCCTTTTCACCAAAACACAGTTTAAGGCAATCGTTGAATACTTTTTTTTCTGAAAAGTCCAGTATTTCAGGTAGAACATCCCAAATATTTTTATATGACTTTTAAAGTCGTGGAGTGGCTCTATAGGACTGACCTCATAGTTGTGTAGATTTGAGAAAACAAGTGTGTTTAACTCATTGCCAAAGCAAAGAGCTGGAGTTCGTGAAACACCATAAAGATTTTGCTTCAGAAGTTGTTCAGATTGTTTTTTTGTTCTTTTCACTCCAATATTTTTATTTAATTCTCGAATGAATATTTCCAATTCAAGTTCGGAAATGCTAAGGTTTTGAAATGGAGCTATTGCTTTTGCTGTTCTGCCTGCAGGACCAATAACAACCTAAAATTTACAGTTAGTGATATATAAAAATATTGAAATATTTTGAAATGAAAAGCGCATTTTAACCAAATAAAGCATATATTGTTTAACTCAAAATAATAGTGTAATGTAATTTCAAATGTATAAATAGTTTAAAGTGATGAAGTGATTTTTTTTTATTTATTATTTCTTTCATATATGTAAGTAATGGAAGTAATATGTAAGTAGGACCTAATCCCATTGGGGGCGGTTTCAAGGGTGTGTTTGGGGAGGTCATACTTCCCCACACACACATACCCTTGAAATTGGGAAAAACCTCCACTTAAGAATTTCATATTTAATTTGCTGTCAATTTTTCAGGAATATAGTTGATATTTTACACATTCCACTGGGTAGATTTTAAGTTTTGAGGACATTTTTTTAAATTTTTTTTATTTTTAGAAAGTAATCAGAACTTTTTAAGAATTCAATCCCCCTTCTCCTTTTCCTCGTTTTATTTCTAAAATTGCCCTTGAATCTGATACCGTTTGACCAGTATAGGCCCCTAAATTGAAAGAGCCATAAATCATAAATTATACATAGGGACTCATAAGCATATTTTCGTGACTGAGGTCATGATTGTGGTTTTGTGTCTCGTGAGATCAGATATGTTTAAAATGTAATTATTTTACCTAAATTTTATAGTAAGAGAAAAATTAACTTATTTTTATATCGAAATGTGTATAATACACAAAACTGGGTGCGTGAGAACCTTAATTAAAAGTGATGTTACATTACTTTTCTCCTTGTATCTTCTAATGATATGATGTCATGTGAATAAACAATTGGTAAATCTGTAAATTGATTAACATTACACCCACATAAGCATGGATATTAACCACCATGAAGATTTCCAGCTTCAAATTGGATTTCTGGATGATCACCTAAATAAAAAAAACTTTTTTCAACATTTCATGTCTAAATTTACATTAAAGTACAACTGATAACAGGGTTGAATTTTAAGTACTGTTTTTCATATTTATCGTTACCCGAATTTTTTTCCCTGGAAAAGTTAAATTAAGCAAAATATCTCTGAAAAAATCATAATTCTTCATTTTTGTGGATATACATAAAAAATGCAGTAAAATTAAAATCTTAATTTTAAAAAAACTGCCAAGTTCAAATTTCATTTAAGATTCTACATCTTGAATAAAATTCCCCCATTCTCTCTCCTCGCCATTTTGCTTTCCGTCATGTAAAAAGTGACTACATTTTAGAATTAATACCGTGAAAAAATCTTAAGACGTCATGAATTTCTTTTCCGTTAATTTTTATGGGAATATGCAAATCTTTAATATCTTCTAATCTAGACTCTACATAAAACAGTTTCCCTGCAATTGTGTCATTTATGCATCCAAATATGTACAAATGAGGAGTTTCCACCAACTCTTGGACATTGTAATGGTTACCAGTTTTGTCAAACATTTCCTTATCATTATAGTACAGTTCATCATCATAAATTGGTTTGACAGTGAGTAATAAGTGACCCGAGTTTAAAATTGAAGCATGATCAGACCAAATTATCAAATTTCTGCTATATATTCCTGTCGGATTTTCTCGAATAATTTTTTTGCGATATATGATTTTCAAAAATCTTTTTGCGTAATTCATGCAATGAAATCTTTCTACCTGAAATAGAAGATTTGGAAATTTCTATTTTTCCATGTTTATCTGTAGAAATTGATGAATATTTTTTAGGTTCAATCAATGTTCCTAATATGTATTTTCCAGAAGTGATATTTTGATTTAAATCTTCTTTAATATTTTTAAATGAACGTGGGATTGGCACAGATATTCCACTGCCTACATAAAAAAAAGTATTTCTTAATAAAAATCAATAATTTGTAAAATCAAAATTATGTATTTATTCGTCATTATCAAGATAAAGTTTTACATTATAAACGTAAATGATATGACCAAAGCAAATAGAAGACGGCTGTCAAATTATCTTTCCTTATTAATGTTGTTTATATTTTACAATCAATATTGATTAAATTATCAAGCAAATAAAACATAAAACTCGAATAATGGTACGTTGTTATTTATAAAGTTTAACGATTTTATTATTGTATGCAGAACCTAGATGAAATGTTGCATAAGGGAGGACTGGTTAGTTATTAAAAACAATAACTAAGATAACTAGTAACCAACTCTAGTTTTGCCGTCAATGAAAATCCTCAACTGGACTTAGTTATTAAAAATACAAGTGTACTGAGTTATATCCTAACTACTTAGTGTTGTGTTGATCAATCAAAACTTTACCTCTAACTCTTAAACAATGAATTTGTGAAAAACTTTCTTTGATTCTATTTTCCTTAATATAGATAATGAAAATGTATAAAAAATATTCTTTTATAAAGATTTATCAAAGCTCCTGATTGTTTTTATTTGAGAGCTAAAAGTTTCAAAAAGTTTGAAAAATTCATTATATTCATAAGCACAAAAAATATAAAGACTTTTATTTATTTTTTAATTTGTTTATTTATAATTTATGTCCAAAATAATTCTATCACCCGGGCTAGAAGAAGACAAAATTAATTATATCACTAAGCCCCGAGCTAATGCTCAATTTTAGCACATAAAATAGCACACAAAATGTTTTTCAAACCTAAATTTACTTATTATGTTTACCTGATATTTATTTTACAAGTATACCTGATAGTTTATTGAGTTTTCTTCTTACTCTAGTTTTATTAAGTTTAGTACTACTAAAGGCGGTTATATCAACATTATTTTGTTCCAAGAACTCACGGACAACCATATTACCGTTTAATCCATCAATTTTGTATTTCTTTGCAAGAGCCGAGAGATTAATCTAAAATAGTTAATGCTTTTAATTTCATATATACTTAGTTTTATTTTTTATATAGAATGCAGATTTTTAGTAATCTCTTTATTTCATTATTTTTATTTACATTTTTTTATTTTAAATAAAAAAAAAACTTATTTGTTATACTTCTGAGCCTTTTTTCATTTTCTGTACTTCATTTAACATTTCAACTTTATTGTCTTTTTCTCTTTTGACCAATAGGATTGCCTAAATTGTGAACTCAATTGAAATCATACAAATAATATGGGATAATTTTCAAATATAGTAAAAATAAAATAATGTAAAGAGAAAATGTTACTTAAATCACACCAATAATAATCACACAATGATTAAAAGTAACAAAACAAATAAAATAAAATTTTGTATCATAAATATATCATTGCATCGATATATCCAATTTATATTGCATCAAACTTACTCGTAAAGCATGTCGTTCGTTTAACAGCATCTTTTTTAGATTCAAAGTGAAGGCTTGAGCGAATCTTTAAATAAGCTGATTTTGATTGACGAACACCAAACAATGTATTGGTATCTTTGCTATATTTTTCCCAATGATTTTCAATTGTCGCCTTTAACTTCCTGTGGGATTTTTGAAGTTTTTTTTTTTATCTGCAGAAGATAACTTTTCTACTAAATTGGTTGAGGGTAATTTTGACAAAACCTTTAAAAACGGCGTATCATATAAAGAATTCCAAGATGTGTTGATGTTTTCCAAAACCGATTTACATGTTTCTTTCATGTATGGAAGTGAGTTTTTAGTAAAAGGAATATCAACTTTTGAAAAAGACAGAGGAGCAACGTTTGAATTCTTGAAAGATAAAATATTATTTCGCGCTTGAGAGTCCGTTGTGAAAATGTTGGCTATATTGCTAAGTGGTGAGTTTGACTTTTTTGGCCGATGAATCACAGAACTTGGAAAAACGTTTTCTGGATTTTTATCTTTTTTACATAAGCTGCAACCATTAAGCGTGTGTTCTTTTTGTATGAAAGGATCCAATTTTTGCCATTCATATTGGGAATAGCGTTTTATAAATTTAGTTCTTTCGTCACCACCCCATACATGCTTTTTTAGAAACGTTGTCAAAATCATGCGATTTTTTATGGAAATATTTTTCGTTAATTATGATGTGCTGGAATTGACTAATAAAATGCTCATATCTTTTGTGTTTCCGAGTATAATGGATTTCTTCTAA